TGAGCGCGCGCGCGCGTCGGCGGCGGAGGCTTTCCTCCCCTCCTTCCTCCCCTCCCCTCCCTCCCACTCTCCTCCCTCCCCTCCCCCCTCCCTGCCCCCCTCCCTCCTAATCCTCTCATTCGCCTCCCTCCCCCCTCTCCCCCCCTTTCCTTTCTCCCCTCCCTCCCGTCCCTCCTTCCCCCCCTCCCTCGCTGCCTCCTCCTCCTCCTCCTCCTCCTCCTCCTCCTCCTCCTCCTCCCCGTCCTCCTCCATCTTCTCCTCCTCCTCCTGCTGACCGAGGGCGAGCAGCAGCGCCTTTAGGCCGGAGCAGCAGTGAGCTTTTCCAGTCGGTGACCAGCTGGAGCGCGCGCTGGGTCTGGGACTTCGAGCGTGAGACGGCGCAGGACAGCGAGATCTGGCACAGTGGTGCGAGGAGTACATCGACAGTTTTTAAACACGAGGACTCCGGCGCTGAACTGCGGAGTGCGCTAGTGCACAGGCACAGCGGTCGCACCTGATGGGGCCACGGCCGAAAGGCCCCAGGGGAACTGGAACAAGTGGTGGCTGAGGTGTGGGCTACCGCAGGGCCCTGCGCGAGGTGTCGAGGCCGCTGACAGCCCAGGCGTGGCATGCCTTTTCCGAACACCACTGGGGCGAGCTGCGCCGACTGCTTGGTTTTTTCAAGGGCCAGCTGACAGGACGACGGCGAGCTGATTTTTCGGGGCTGGTGGCCCCTGGGGAGCCCTGTGCATGGCAGACCTTGAAAGAGGGCAGCGGGTCTTGGATCGAGGCCGCAGACGCGGGTGGTCGATGCCCTCGACCAGACCCAGCCTCCACTCTGGGCTGCAGACTCGCATGGGGGGGATGCCCCAGGGTTGAGCGGCCCTTCCCCATAAGCGCCTTGCCAGAAGTCGGGGCCGCAGCAGGTCCTGAGGGGGCCCATGGAGAGGCATACCTCGAAAGGGAGCAGCGGGCCTTGGATCGAGGCCGTAGTCGCCCAGGTGGTCGATGCCCCTGGCGGCGCGGCCCCCAAGGCGCGTCGGGGCGCGGCGTTCTCGCCCTTGGGGAGCCCTTGGCGGGGCATGCCCTAGAGGAGGAAGGAGCAAGGTGCTGGATGGAGGCCGCAGACACGCGGGCGGTCGATGCCCTTTGTCGCACCCCCCCTCGCCCTTGGGCCGCATATGCGCGGGCGGTCGAAGCCCCGGGCGCTAGAGGGCCCCTTCCGCGCGCGGACTGCTGCGAGATGGGGCCTGCACGCGGCTGGCAACAACTGCAATCCGTGGCCGACGCTTCAAGGATAAATGGAGTGGGCCCGCGATGTTCACCAGACAACGTATGATGTCATATTCTTTCAAGCACATCGACTGGATGCCCCGCAGATCAAGACGGCCCGCGCAAGACGCACTTCGGCAGTTGCGGGCATGCGCTGGAACGGTGGACGGAGCGGCTCTGTATGATCAAGGTGATGGTGCATTGGGCCTTTCCCGATTTCTTCTCGCCGATCTACGGCCTCGCGACCCTATGACAAGCAGGCGCAAACATCTCCTTCCTGGAAGAGCTCAGCGACGCGGTGGCTTCTGCTGGCTGCCCTTTTACCATCGGAGGCGATTGGGATACTGACACTGGAAAGGTGATAGGGACCCAGTGGGCAGGTCATCCGGGGGCGACGGTCGCGCGACCCCCAGGGGCCACCTGCCGCAGCAATTGCTACGAATTGCTCGTAGCCAGCCATTGTCTGGACTACCGCGCCCAGGATTGCGCCGAGCAGCCCGACGCGCCTGTTGGGCCGCACTCCGCGGTGGCGCTTGAGTTGCGACAAGTGGCTGGACAGGCCACGGCGCGGCAGCGCGCGGCGCCGCGAGGCCCCCCCCCCCCCAGAAGGACGAGGACAAGGCCCGCGAGAAGCGCGAGCCAGGCCTGCAAGAGTTCCCGTTTGAATGGGCGGCAGCGCGCCCCAAGTTGCAATGGAGCAATGGTTTGCCGTTGCCGAGGCGGCGCCAGGGCACCTGCGCGGCATGGGGGGCCGCCAATTAATCGGCGGGGCCAAAGGATGCGAGGCCCAGTTCGCACCGCCCAGGGCATCGCGGGGAGGGGCGCTGCACGGGCGCCCCCAACCCTATCGCCCAGCGCCGGCTGTCGCTTCGTCGCCTAGACTTATTGCGCGCGAAAGCCAATTCCGCAGATAGGCGGGAACGCCTGCTAGCCTCAGCATTGCCGTTGCATGACCCCCTGGCGGCGGCGGAGGATTAGCTGCTCGCGCCTTCATCCGTCGCGCAACTTTTGGGCCCTGGATGGACTTGGCTGTTCGGACATAGCAGGCGCGATTCTGCGCGCTCGACGGCCCTCCGGCACCTCAGCTGCAGCCGCGAGAGGGGCTGCAGAAGCGGAAGGCGCCGAGGTCACGGAGGCCGTGGAGGACCTGCGGCCGCTCGTTGGCCACGCGGCACCCGACCGCATCGCGCAAGACTGGGCCCCAATTTGGACCAAAATTGCTAGGGCCTCGAAGGGCCACCCCAGCGGCTGGTTAGTCCCAGACGATCTCCCGCCCATCACTGCGGACCAGGCGCGGGCGTCGGCGGCCTCTTTCAGTCCCTCGACGGCTGTCGGCAGGGGCGCTTTCTGTCCGCGCCCCCCCCCCCTGCAGCTCGCCCGGCCACGGGCGAGAGCTCGCGCGTGGAATTTGGCGGCTCGGGGGCGAATTTTCGCGGCGGGAGCGACGCGGGTGGTCTTAGCGGTGTTTTTTGGAGGGGTGAGGCCCGTCGGGCTTCTTCCCGCCTGGACAAGAGCATGGAGCTTGTTTTTTAATTACTCGGACCCGCAACGCCCGTTACGCCCCCCCCCCCCCCCCCCCCCCCGCAGCGGCAACGAGCGTGCGGGGGCGGGGGTGCGGACCCCCCTCCGTCCAGGCAGGCATGCTGCGACGCTCGCATGCATGCTCAGGTTCGAGGTTCGAGGTTCGAACCTCGGCGCAAACTCAAAATGGGCCCACGGGGCCCGACTGGGGCCCATACGCACCCGGGATGTCTTTCGGCGGCGAGCCCAGGGGGGGGAGTGAGAGGGGGCAGGCCCCCTCAGAAGGCGGCGGGACTTCTCAGAAGCCCCCTGGCCTTCAGAGAAGCCCTCCGTGTCTTCGGGGGAGGCTTGGACATCTTCTCAGAAGGCCGGAGGCCTTCTGAGCCCTCTCAGAAGGCCCGCCCCCCGTCATTCCCCCCCTCGGCTCGCCGCCAAATATTGCGGGCAGTGCCAGCGGGCACTGCGCTTTAGCACTTGATCGGCGGCGCGGCGCGCCAAGGGTGCCACAGAATGGTCGTCGTCATCCCTGCCGCGCCCGCTGCCATTATCCTGCGGGCTGCGCCCGGAGCCCCGACGCCCGCCTGCCAGCACGACGTTTCCCCGAACAGTGCGTGCGCCAGGAGTTCCGTTGAAACGCAGCGCCACAAAGTGGCCCCGCCTTTGGCGCAACCTGTGGCGCAACCATCGACGCAACCTATGGCGCGCCCTGAGGGCGCAACCTAAGGCGCAACGTAAGGCGCGATTTGTGGGGCGCCCTGGGTGCGCAACCTATGGCGCAAGCTAGGGCACGCCCTGGGGGCGCATCCTATGGCGCAGCTTACGGCTCAACCTATGGCGCAGGTATTTGTACGCAAGCACAACGCGCGGTGTAACGCATCGGGCAAGCCATGGCGCAACCAGCCCGTGCACTCTCACAATATCATTAGGACTACTACCACTGTCCTCCCTCCATTCTCCCTTTGCTGGTGCAAGGGGCTGGACTGGGCGAGACCTGCACGCGGATGTGGCCGCATGTCCTTCCAGCGCTCGGCCCTCCTACCTCGCGCGGCTGGCCACGCCAGCCCCCCGCATGTGCATCCAGCAAATGTGCCCCAAACGCTGCTGAAGCTTTCGGCAACTGGCTGCGGCGGCGGCGGCGACGGCGGCGGCGGCGTCGGCGGCGACGACGACGGCGGCGACGGCGGCGGCGGCCACCTTCACCGCCGCCGCCGCCGCTTGCCGCCGTCGGCGTCGTCGCCGTCGCCGCCGCCGTCGTCGTCGTCGTCGTAGTCGCCTCTGCCGCCGCCCGCGTCGCTGCCGCCGCCGCCGTCGCCCCCCCGGTCGCCGTCGCAACTGACGGCGACGACGGCGACGCACCCGCGTGCACGCTCCAGCCGTCGACCCATGTCTCAAGGGCCCTGTGCCTGTGCAGGGAGCTCCTGCTTCCTGCATTCCCAAGGCTGCCGCCGCCCCGCGCGCCCCCGCGGCGCGCGGTTTACACTCCGCACAAAAAAAGCCGCACACAAGCTTTGTGGCGCACACATGCCACGTGGTATACACAGGCGCCACGGTTCACACTCCCATGATGCACACAGTCGCAATGGAGTACACAGGCGCTGTGGGCTCAACAGGTCCGAGCGCTTTTTGAACCAGAAAAACTACGATCCACAAGCAGCTCACATAATGAAAGGGCCACGGTTGGGCCCCGAGCGATCTTCTGGACTTTCGCCCCGCTGGTACCTTACAGGTGTACACAAGCTTTGCGGCGCACGCTGGCGCTCCTGGTGCAAACGCGGGGCTTTGAAACAGCAGCTGTGGTGCACGCGGGCGCCGTGGTGTGCGCCAACAGTGAGATGTACAAGGGCGCTGTGGTGCACCCGCCTGTCATGATGTGCTCAGTCGCCGCGGTGCACACACATGCCATTTCTGCCGCAGTTGTGGTGTACAAAGGCATCGCGGTGTACAGGGCCTGTGTAGTGTGCACAGGCACGGTCGGCTTCGACGACGACGACAGCGGCGACGACGACGACGAAGCCTACCGTGCCGACAGTTGCGCTGGCAATAAGTACCAGGGCCCGTGCGAGGGCCCCGCCGCGCGTTACCGTCACCCCCAACTTGGGGCCGGACCCCAACCCCCCCACCCCCCCGTAACGGGCGCTACCCCCCCCCAATAAACAAAACAAGCTCATGAATCCGCATGCGACACGGCCTGCGCGCGGCCCGGGAATGGACTGCAGATATGTCTGTTT